TTTAATTTCCTAACAAGTTGTACTTATTTTTCCTTTGTTAAATTAAATAAACTGTGTTTTAGTTTTGGTCATGACTTAACAAACCCTGGGATTGTCACAATTTCTGTCATACCCTGATGATCAATGTCGTCCAATTTCTCCCAACAATACAAACACCTTTAAGTTAACAGGTGGTAGGAGTAAAAAAGATAATCAAGTTTGGAATGTTTTATGTAACTGATGCACCAAGAAATTCTCATAACTAGCATGAACATAAATGTATAACAATCTGTAAGGAGAATTGAGAATTTGACCAGAAAAGAACAAAAATGGCCTTAAGTGTACATGTAGCTCTTGCTGATTTTCAAAAAGCACCATTTCTAGGAGGCCAAAGGGTAACAAAAACTATTTTACGGCTTATTAGCATACGCATAGCCTGAAATGTCAGTCCTCTCCCACCCTCAGCATTACCCCAGGCTGATGGCTGGCATTTCAAATGTCAGTCAGTGACTAGTTAGCATTGGCACTAAAATTTATCGAACAAGTTTAAATCCGTGACCAGTATCATATACTGCTGGAGGGAACCACCGCATCTTCAGTCGACGACAGCCACGTGTAAGCCAGTCAAAGACACTGAGCACATTTGTGTTGCATGGCAAATGAGTGAATATCTTTGTTATTGGTTTGATAAATCTAGGGAAGTTTTGTTCCACGTGCTGAGCTATATCTTCCACTGTTGGTTCATGGAACTTAAAACAACACCATTCTCTTGAAACACCATAAACTGGTTTCACTTTCATGCTGTTCTTGTCCCAGAAGTCTCCAGGCTTGCCGCTGACAGCAGTAGTGTTGAAATCATCCCACATTTTGGTAAGTTCACCCAAAGGAAATGAATTCCCTAGCTCAGCGTCAAATGTGGCTGTCAGCTTTCCAGTTTGGATTGCTATAAAGTCTTTTTCAACTTTCCAAATATTGTCCACCCATTTATCTGAATGAGCAGTATCTAGAAACAACAAAAGTCTGGCCCCTGTTGTCGCATTTGTGTTCCTCCACCACTTCAAGATGCTATCAAATGAGAGGGTTTTGTCTTCTGTAAGGGCCCAGTCTCCATTGCTTATCACATGGCCACTGTAGTACAGAATGTAAGTGTCATAATGTAAGCCTGGAAGAACACGCTGCTCAAAAAATGACGTGATTTTCTTTTCAATGTAGTCAGCCGAAATGCCACTTGTTGAGAAGTCTGTGCCAAAGTTGTGAATCATGTGACTGGAAAAAAATCTTGACACAATAGTTATTAGTTCCATTGCTTTAGTGTTGACAGCTTGGAATGCATTCTCGGCAAGAATCACAACATCGCCAGTTGGACTGTACTTGTGGGCAGGTGCGACCACGGCATAACCAATGGCTGTTCCCCCAACAGATTTACCAAGCTTGGCCAGGATGTCGTACATGAGAAGTTCAACTGGAAGAATGGCCAAGAGCATTCCAATGAATACAGGGTTGGTTTCTTGCCATCCTGAAGCTATGACAAGAAATGTCGACAGCAGCGTATATAGCGTGACAATCTGCGACACCAGGCAGAAGTGACGGAGCCCTTTGGATGCCATTACCTCTGACATGCTGTTGTCACTAAATTCTCCCCTTGCTTTCAAGACATTGGAACATTCCTCGAGTTTTCCAACAAATCCCCAGCAAGTTACAATAAACATAAAATGAAACCACACCCATGGTATGGACAAAAACACAAATATGGGTAATCTGTAGACTGGCAAGTCAGGTTCTTTGATAAGCTGAGTACTGAATGCATAAAACATTGCTTCCAGAACTAATACCGCAAGAATTTGCAATCTGTGAATGCACCGTCCTTGGAAGATAAACTTTTTCCAGGTTTCCAAAAGAGACAACCTGGAGAAATAAATATCAACCAGTGATTCAAAGGAAAGGTGGACAATGAAGGCTGATAAAATGTACGGGTTGTAGTTGACATCACTGGCAGGAAAGAAGTAGACACTTCCAAACAAACACAAACAAATGGCACCCAGGAGAGAAATGCTAGACTTCATATGAAAAGCCATTAAGTGCATAGTTACTGCAAGGATTATTGTTACCATGCTACCAAAATGCAGCGTTCCCGTTGCGCCTGAGAGAAATCCTAGTAGGAACAAGCACTCTTCAAGAGTAAGGAATATCGACTCGTATTCTGGCGAGGAACATGTTCGTTGAACCAAAACCTTGAGACAATGTACACCAGTGCTCGCCATAATAAGAATGTCAGTGACATCTAAGTCGTGCAAAGAATCGATTAAATGGTCGAATGCGATCTCCGTGAAGGATAACACACTGAAGAGAACACCCATCCAAAGATGAATAAATCCGCGTCCAAAATCTCTGTACCCGTACAAATAGCTCACGATTGAAATCAATACTGCAAAGGCTACCGCAATGGCGAGAAAATGAATGCTTCCATCTGTAGTATGATGCAGCCAGCGCTCTCTGATGCCATTTGCAGCTCCGGCGAAGAAAAGGAGAAAACAAAGGGCAGACAAATACTGCGAAAGCTTGCTTGAGACTGTCGGCAGCATGTTGAACGTAGCAAACATTTAAAATTTGAAGAAAAATCACATCCGTTGCAAATGATGCTTTCTCTTTTAAGATTGTGTAGGGCCTTCGAGTTTGATCCTGCCCCTTAGGCTCTATACGTGCAACTCGCCGTTCCTTCCTGAAATCTGGTGTGGTCAAAGCTGAAACACACTTATTCAAATCAAATGGTTCCTATTTTTGACGTTTGCTTTGACACGTTGAGCGTCCGCCATTTTTAATTATATCACTTCTGACTGCGCACGTTTTAGTAACCAGTGACTGCTGTACATTTCCTGTCGTTTTGCAGCTCATGTTCCAAGATGGCGGATGGTTTGGGCGATCAACAAAAACTTTCAGATATCGTGAAAGGATTGCACGGCAGACTAAGAAAACAACTAAGAGAAGGTTAGAAATTAGTTTTTTTAATTTATCAACTAACACTAAGATGCGGAAATGATTATCCCTGCACGAAATAAGAAGCGTTAAAAACGCTGAACAAACAGCATGGCTAGCCAGGACATTTCACTGATCATACTACTAACTACGCACTGATGTATTAGCAATAAGATTATGAGCTCGAGATTTCTATCGCGTGGCGCTCTCGTCAACTATCACGCGATAGAAATCGAGAGCGAATAATCTAATTGTTTTAGTATAAATCTACTAGTCGTTCAAAACTTTATCTAAATCCTCTTCATA